TCCCAACAATACTCAGGACCCTTGAGCACACTCAATCAGGAGGCCACTGTCAAGCTTGACAGTTTAGCTTGCTATAATCCGTATGTTGTTTCATTCCAAATAAGGTTGGCTTGCTTCTTCCACAAATGCATGTGAGTCCTTTTTTTCTTTTTTCCCCTTTCTTCTCCCTCTCACTCTGCCCCAGTTGCTCAAGCCCGAAAGTTTTATTTATTTATTTATTTATTTATTTATTTATTTAATGTAAGTACACTGTGGCTGTCTTCAGATATCCATAAGAGGGCATCAGATCTCATTACAGATGGTTGTGAGCCACCATGTGGTTGTTGGGATTTGAACTCATGACCTCCAGAAGAGAAGTCAGTGCTCTTAACCACTGAGTCATCTCAACCAGCCCCAAGTCCTTATTTTCAACTTTTTGTTTGTTTTTCCAGACAGGGTTTCTCCGTGTAGTCCTGGCTGTCCTGGAACTCACTCTGTAGACCAGGCTGACCTTGAATTCAAAGATCTGCCTGCCTCTGCCTCCTAAGTGCTGGGATTAAAGGCATGTGGCACCACCTCCTGGCTTATTTCAATCCTACATAAGAGGCCGAGAACTTGAAAACATCTGACCCAGGCCCCAAACACCAATAACATACAGGTGAGAACAGCGGACTATTAGGGAGAATCTTATTTGCTAGCTTATACTTACGGGAGGGAGTGTGACCTGCTGCGGTGACATGTCCTCTGTGAACACCTGTGGGTGGGCAGCAGCCGGGTGGGCTCCAGCATGATACCTCTCAGTCAGGAATGAAGCTGACAAGAGAACTGGGCCAAGGGTGAAGGGGGAGGGGCACCACAGGGCACCTGTGCCACACAGGCTGGAAGGAAGGACAGGAGGCCCAGAGTGCGGCTGTTGGGTGGAGGCAATCCCCAGAGCAGTCGCAGCTTTCGCTGGTCATACAGGCTGGTCCACTCCCACAGCTCTACTGGGGAAATATGGCTGGAGTCCCCTAATAAATAACAGAGCTATTGCTCTAACCCTGGAAGTGATATGGTCCCAACTTTGGTCTCGAGGCCACAGAGGTTCTGGGCTGGCCCTCTCCAGCAGACACCAAACTTCACATATTATCCTTGTCAGTTAATAGCTGTGCATCTCTTCCAGGAAGCCTCCCCAGACTTCTCAACCACATATGACCCTGCATGGTGGCCCTCACCTTAGGGTGCAGGCCCTTGCATGGGCATCACTTGTGCCCTAGTCTGACAGAACATTAAGTACCTGCTCTAACCCTTGACACCCCAGCCTTCCCAGAGATGTGCTGGTCTATGTCTTCTCCAGGTCAAAGGTTTACTTATTCATTTTATGTGAGTTCACTGTCACTGTCTTCAGACACACCAGAAGAGGGCGTCAGATCCCATTATAGATGGTTGTGAGCCACCATGTGGTTGCTGGGAATTGAACTCAGGACCTCTGGAAGAACAGTTAGAGCTGTGCTCTTAACCACTGAGTCATCTCTCCAGCGCCCAGGTTAGTAATTTTGCATCCAAGAATTGGAGCCATTTCCTGTTCTTTGGAGCCAGCCTTAAAGACAGATTTGTCACAACTGCCATTATCATCCTGCCCCCTGCCAATAGCACTTGTCATGGAACGGCTATGAATTTATAAAGCAGACTTGAGTTTTGGGTGAGTTTTGTTTGTTTGTTTGTTTGTTTTTTCGAGACAGGGTTTCTCTGTGTAGTCCTGGCTGTCCTGGAACTCACTCTGTAGACCAGGCTGGCCTCGAACTCAGAAATCCACCTGCCTCTGCCTCCCAAGTGCTGGGATTAAAGGCATGCGCCACCACTGCCTGGCCTGGGTGAGTTTTAAGGTCAGATTCCAACACTGCATACATAGTGGAGGCGGCAGCACCAAAGGCAGGGTAGGACTGTCAGCCCTGGGGGCCATCTGTCCCCATAGGGTCTTATGCACATAGGACACTCTACATCCCACTAGAGTTCTTGACAAGGGATGCCAAAACACCATCAGAGAGGAGGTCATTTGTGCCCTAGTCTCTGAAGCAACAGGAATGGCTAGTCAGACCACCTCCTTACAGAGTTATTCAGTAAGTATCTTCTGAGTGCTCAGCACAAGCTGACAGTCTAAAGGACAGCTCATCTCACTGGCACGCACTTGTCTGCTCCTCCCAGGCCCTGGGGCTACAAGTACAGAGGCCAACTTGAAAAGCGAGGCAGTACTGGAAAGGTGAATGCACAGGCCTCCAGACCTAGGGACGGGAAGGGGTGAGGGGTGGAGGAAAGCAGCAGGCCCAGGCTACAAACAGGCTGGCTGTCCATGACTCTCACCTCTGCTCACTCAGAACTATCCATTTGGGTCTGTGTCTAGGGACCTGGAAGGACTGTGCAGAGACATGCACAGTGTGACGTGGGCGACAACCTGCAACATTCAGGTGGCAGTTTCAGGAAAGGCCTAAGTAGTCAAAGGCCTTTGGCACACACTCAAATGAGCCAAGGTAGTGAAGGTCATAGGAAATGGATGGGCAGTGAGGCCCTACTGCCCTGGAAAGGTCCCTGCATACTAAGTAGTTAGGTATGAATTTCACATCGGTGTAGTTTCTGCAGGTGTGATGCACAGCTGGAAGACACCAGACTGTTCGAGATCCACAGACATCTTTTCTCTGAAAGGGACTCACACTGCTGGTGAGTGGATAGAGTAACGTGATGCCGCAGCTAAATGTTCCAAGCATGAATCACCCTTCACCGCGACACCTACTCACCCCCAGAAGCCAAGGCTAAGCAACTCAACAGCAGCTCTGGCTTTGACGGACGCAGAGCTGTCACGTGGAGCGTTTACTGGAGCGTTGCCTGTCTAATCCTCGATTACCTCAGTTGGGGCTTTACCAAGCCTGGCGCCCATGCTGTGCCCTAAGTTGATTGAATCATTCTCCCTCGGGGGACCGTACACCAGCCATTGTTCTGACTTCCCAGGTAAATTAATTTACATAGACCTGCACTTCATTGTCCTGGGCTTCACACTGGTCATGTGACTACCTTAGTGACTGTCTATGCATAGAACTAAGCCTGCCTCCTGAGGTTCTGAGGACTTGAATGCATATGTAATACTGCTTGGTGCTTGTCCCATACGGAGGTGATGGTAGTTTAACAAGTAAAGGACCTAATTATAGCAAGGGAAATAGATGGCTTCAGACACATCCCAACCAGGAAGGGTGGAACCCGGTCCTGCTTCCAGGACTGGACTGGGGCCATGCACAAGTTTGCTTGGGTGTTGGCCTGATCCATGTTTATCCCACGCTCAGCTGTCCTTTGAGGCTGCTTTGAGACTTCCACCTGACCTGCCAGCCCCCAAGATGCCTGATTCCTTATCTACTATCTCCTACAAGAAACTGCCACTCCTCTGAGGTCGGTGCAGGGTGATGGATAGTGCTTAATCTAGCACTATCGTAAATTTGTAGGAGAGCCTGTGGCATGCCTAATGCTACCCAGTGTTCTGTGTGGTCACGTAAGATCCCAAGTTCCCCTGCAGCAATACTCTTTTTAACCTGTACAACTCAAAGCTTCAAAAACAAAAACAAAAAAAAACTAACCCACAAGGTAGCCCAGGTTGCCTCTGCTTCTGCTTGGGTTATAGGAAGGCTTCATGCAGGTGGAATGACAAAAGTTCCAATGGGAAACGTTCCTCTACTGTGTGTCAGACTTGTGACAGGCCAGAGCCCGCTCTTCCACTGTGTGTGGGGAGGGCACGTCTTCGGGGGTGGGGCACAAACAGGCTTCTCAGTAGCAGTGTAACGGAATCTTCTCAAGATCTTCCTCAGGGAGAGGGTCTTTCTAGAAAGGATCTTGCTTGTTTCCCATTTGTACAAGGCCACCTCCTGTGCAGCAAAGGGGAAGAGTGCCAGGCCCATAAGCGCTCCGAGGTAGGGCGTGGAGGGTCCCTCCCCAAAGTCACAGGGAATGTGAGGGACAAGGTAGTTAAGGTCAGCAGAGAACTTGACACAGGCTCTGAGCTCTTCGTTCTCCATACCAAGCTGAGCTATGAGTTTTATTTAAAAAAAAAAAAATAACTTAAAGGGGTGCTACTGTGTCTATGTGAAGAGAATACTGACTTGTTTTAGAGAACCTACTAATCACATGGTTACTAGTGATGAGGTTGGAACCAGCATATGGTAAACACTTCTGGATTACACATCAGAATCATGGGTAGGTGTTTTTGTCCTTAAGGGAAAATACTCAAGTTAAAACAAAACAAAATGACAAGGCCTTTGTGGTCAGCCCTCAAGACATGCATTGGTAAATCAATCTTAGTATTCTCAAAGCTGAGGCGGAAGGAGTTCTGTACGTGTGAAGCCAGCCAGGGCCGGAGTGAATCCCTACCTCAAAAAGAACCCAAACCAAACCCAAAGCAGAGACAAAAACCAAACCAAAACAAAAAAACCAACCTGGGGACTTGCATTAAAGCAGCAAGAAGCCAAGCATAACAGGGCACTTCTTGATCCCAGCACTTGCTGAGGTGGAGGAAGGAAGCTTGCTCAGGAGTTCAAAGCCAGCCTCAAATTAAAAACAGAAAAAAAAGTTTTGTTTTTCGTTTTTTTAAATGAGGAAAACCGGTTGTACTTCATTACCGCTAATATGTAGGTATTCTTAGCAAAATAAAGCATTAAACAACTAAATACACACTCATCTAGTGGTGACTTTGTGGTAAGACTTTCATCTAAGAATGAACTGAAGGCAAAGGTAAGAATGAACTGAAGGCAAAGCTATCTGAATTTTTGGGGACGATAGCAAATATTTCTTTTTAGAAACAGGAACGATATGGTTTAATGCTGGCAAAGGCCACGCTTCCCTGGGGTTTTACTTGCAGTTTCTTCCCTTGTGATGTGAAGCTGCTACAGTGTGGGAGTTTCTTCACTTGCGATTGTGAAACCGCTCCAGTCAAGAACCCATGTTAAGAAGCCCACGAAGTAGCCCAGTGACACATTGACTCCCAAGAGGGACAAGACACTGCAGTCTGAACTTTTTGCTTATTCTTTATGAAGACAACTGGATCCAAGGAGCTGTGACAGAGACAATGCCTACCCCAACAGCCACACAAGGTCATGTGACCACCTCCAGGACCCAGAAACCCTGTGAACGGTTCATGTGCTAAGCAAGGCTCCAAGCTCCGCCGCGTGGGACAGGTTAGCTTACAGCATGTAAGCTTAGCAGGTTACAGGAAAACCACTTTAAAGAGACGAAAACCCTGCAAGACAGTGGACACTTTGAGAGGAAAGGCTCAAAATAAAGCTAAAGAATTAGTAGCTGGGTGAAAGGCAGTTCCCCAGAGTTCAATCTGAAGACCGATAGTCAGACTCGACCATTCTAAAGCCAGGACACAGAAGAGCAGCATCCAGCAACTCTGACCAAACTGAGAATTCCAGGGACTGCAGTGGGATAGCTTGCTGCCAGGAGCCCACAGGACCCAGTGTTCTAGAACATTTCCAGTAGGAAAGCTATAAATGCCTTTTGATGAGATGGTGCCCATGAGCTTAGGGCTAGGTGCTTATCACCTTAAGTACGTAAGGCTAATTCATTTGTCTGTCATACTTTTAGCTGTTTAAAGAGAATTACAGAAAATTTCCAGATTAAACCACAGCTCATCAGACTTGAAAAGGTCAGCTCTCACAGGATCATGAAATGAAATGGGAACATGGAATGGGGTCTCTTAGTTATGTTGGGGCCAGCATTATCAAAGCACTGCAGAATTTTGAGATTTTCTTGTTTGCATTAGTAGATAGCCATAAAGTTTTGGCTACTTAGAAAATATTCACAGAAACACACAGAAGGATAAAATAAATAATAAAACCCTTTATATAACTCATGGGTCCTACTGACTTTTCGTGGCAGGAGCATGAGCTGTGACATCAGCAGGTCCCCACAGACTCACTCCAGGTAGGTACAGGTGATATTTAGATGCTCCCGATAGCTCTGGAGTGACACTGTAGACTACCGACTTTCATCCTGCAGTCACAGGTAGATAGCGATGGCTACTGTTTGTCTCTAAAGGTCCACTGGCTTCATTTAAATGTTCCCTATCCTTATTAACAAGGAGAATCTTAAATTGAGATCACGCAAGCAAAAACAGCTTGAAGGTATCGGAGAGGTGATGTTTCATCCCTTCCCCGGTGTGGTTTCAAGTTCTGAGTTGTTAGGCTTCATTAATTTTGTGTGTTGTACACAAGATTCCCCCCTCTAAAATGAAAAGCACAGGGGAACAGATTTTTTTTTTTCAAGCAAAAATGTTTATGACAAAACAGACCATCCAAACAAAAACCCCACCCCATTAAAATTAGGCAGGACCCATCAGGCCTTGTAGCTTTAGAAAGTCCCAGCTTTGTTTTTGTTCAGCACAGTAAAGCATCTCTGTACTGTTTTTATGCCTGGACTTTATTCAACCCCGGAATTTCCTCCTTTTAATTTGGCTAGAGTTAGAAAAGTCTGATCTGTTTCTAGACTCTCAAATTCTGCATTTAATGCTTGCACAACCCACTTAAAACTTAGGAATGCTGCCCTTTTCATGTTCCCATTAAAAACACACAAAATAAACACAAACCACACATTGTAAGGATAATGAGCCAGATGGAAAAGTTAATGTGCTATAATGATATTCGTTTTGCAACATCAAAAGCAGCAGAAATACTGAATATAATTTGACTAAATCATAAATACTGAGATTGACTATGCACATAGAAATTACATTTAGGCTCCATGAGCTGGAAGCTCTCTAAAGGAGAGAAAGTGCGGACCAGTGAGATCAGCTCCTGGCCCATCAGTACTCCCACTCATCGGACTTCATGTCAAGGTAGCTGAGGATGTTCTGGGCCAGCTTCACAGCCTGTTTCCTGGCAGCCTTGCACTTCTCTTCTCCCTGCGGGTCAACAGCATCCAGAGCCAGCAACTGTTTGGTCAGCAGCTCCTCCAGACGAATGTAGTTCTTATCAGTTCGATTCCCACCGAATGAGAGGACTTCGCCCTGGATCTCTGACAGGTTTCCAAGGACATCCCACACAGCCTTATGTGGGGGGTTCTCCTCACATGGGAACTGCCTCCTCTTCTCCAGGGCTTCCTTCAGGTCCAGGTATGTGATCAGGGTCTGCACCTCAATCACGGCTCTCCTCCTGGCTTCCCGGATGCAGGGGTTTTTCTCAAGACTCACTTCATCCAGCTGTCCGATCAAGCCCTGCAGTTCTGTCTTGGACCTGAGGTACAGCTCAGGAGGGCTCTGCGCCTGGAGAAGTTCAGTTTTGATTTCTCTCATCCTCTTGAGGACATTTTCTATTTTTATAATGGAACGGTTTTGCCCTAGGTCAAATGCATGAGCACTGTCGGCCTCCTCTTCTAAATCTAGATATTTCAGTAATTTGTTGATATCTTCCACCACCTCCCTCCGATAATTCCTGATCTCTGTACGCCCACACACATCTAGAGCATCTAAATCAGCAATCAGCCCTGACAGCACGCATGATAAGTGCCTGCAAGTCTCAGAACAGTTCACGCCCATCAGAAGTGCGATCAAAGTCCCTCTGGCCTTGTTCACTTCACACATCACGGAGTTGATCTTGGCGACAGAAGGATGCACATCCTCGGAAAGCGGCAGGGAAGGCTGCTTCTTCATACAATCTTCAATGATCTCTTGTACTGCACAGATCTTGGTCAGTGTGCGGTACCTTGCTTTCCGCAAGGAGATCTTCCCTCCTGTTTTAACATGTGTCAGCCTCAGAATGATGTCCTGGATGCCTTCCTCAAACTTGTCAGTCACACAGTTGCCTCCACTGTAAAAGGGCACAATCTTTTCTTTCACGAGGGCCTGAGCTTCCTTAAAGATATTCTGGATTTCAATCCGGTGTGGGTGGTTCGCATTCTGCTCCAACTCTTTGAGGAGGCGTTCTGTCTCCTGCGCTGCCCTCTTCCTAGCTTGCTGGATGTCTCCTTTTCCTTCTGTATCCACAGAGTCAATTTCAAAAAGTTGTTTTGTCAGAATCCTCTCCAGCCTCTTGTAATTCTTGTCATCTGACAGGCCACTGAAGCCCACCACCTGCTGCTCTATACTCTTCACTTCCCGCTGGATCTCCTGAAGCCTACTAATAGAAGGGTGTTGGTTTCCCATATCCATACTTCTGTGTTCAGTTTCACAAGCACTGAAAGATAGCAAGAAGGATAACTTATTACTGTCTCTGCAGGATAGTGACCCATTCTAAACACTCCTTTTTAGTACACTTTTTAAAAGGGCTCATTCCAGCCGTGGAGATAATTCTCAGTCAAGTGTCTAAGCAGGAGCTCCAGAACACATGTTAAAAAAAAAAAAAAAAAGCCAGGGCAGGGGCTGGAGAGAGGGCTCAGTGGCTAAAAACCTTGGATGCTCTTTAGAGGACCTAGGTTGTATTACCAGCACCCTTGTGACAGCTCATGGCCACCGCTAACTCCAGTTCCAGGGCATCGGATTCCCTTCCTGTCCTCTACAGACGGCCATGCTGGCAAAACACCAATTCACATAAAGCGAAATAGAAAAGCCAGGCAGGACTGTGCTCAGTTAATTACCCGTGCTGGGGAGACAGTGATGTATGGATCTCCGTGAGTCACAGACCAGCCAGCCTAGCCTAACTGAGGAGCTTCAGGACAGAGAGAAGCCCTGCCTCCAAAATCAAAGGACATCACAGAAATGATGGTGGCTGGGGAGGTCAGACTCTGGCATCTGAGGATGCACCAAAACACACAAGGGTTTTTGTCAAAGGTTTAAAAGACACACTTGAGGAAAAAGGGAAGATGTGACATGTCAACTCCCTCTTTGGACAGGTACAAAACAAAACAAACTGGTGTGCTGGTGTATGCCTACAATCCTAGCACTGGGAAGACAGAGGAAAGAGAATTATGAATTCAAGATCACCTCGGGCTACTTGGTAACACCAAGAATCGAAAGCAAAACAAAAATAGGGGAACTTGAAAGGGATTTTAAGAACGGAAAGTACTCATGGTCCAGCCTGGGTGGATGTCTAGGCCTATGAATTCTGTCTTAAACCATGAGAGCGAACCCCGTACACTTTCATACTAGGTCAACCCCATCAGGTTAGCAGCAACACATCTCCTTAGATCTCTCTACCCTAAGCTACTCTTTGGAACCAGCAGGGTACCTTTGTGGAAAAGTTAAAAGTAGTTCTTCCAAACTCATAGGAGCACCATTCGGCCACACAGCTAACTTTCTTTTTTTTTTTTTAAAAAAATTTAATGTGTAGCCCAGGCTGGCCTCGAACTCGTGATCCTCCTGCCTCTGCCTCCTTCAGCAAATCCTACCGGTGTGCGCCACCACTACCGGCCACAGCTAACTTTCTACCTTTCAGAAAGAGGAACTAACAAACTTCCAAATCCTCGCCCTCGACTTCAAATACCCGCCGCAAAAAAAAACCTGACAACTGTGATTAACTCGGTCACTCGCCTCCCCGTAAGTGTGCTTAGAGCAATTCCCACGCTCTTAGGTTTCTGTCAAACAGCTCACTTCTGGCGGGCAGGCCACAGGACTCAGTCCCTGGGAGGGTCCAAGCCCGGCCCTCGCAGCGCTTTACCCCGAGAGGTCTGGGTGGCGGCGGTCTTGGCTGCCGCGGAGGGCGGCGAGGTGGGAGATCGGCCCTTCACGGGGAGCGGCACCGGAGCGGGGCCCCCAGCGGCATCCCCCCTCGCCCTCCCCGGCTAGGTCTGACCCGGGCAGCCGGTGAAGGGGCCGGCGGAGGCGGCGGCAGCTACTGGCCGCGGCGGCCGCTCCCGGGTCTCGGCCCGGCCGGACGCGCCGCCGCCTGACCTCACAATGGGCGCGCGGCTGGCGCGGGCCTGCGCAGCGACGGAGGCGAAGCACCCGAGTCGGGGAGGCCGCAGCTCGCGCCCCCGCGCTGCGCTCACCTGGGCCGCACGCGCCATCGCGCTCCGCCACCCGGACTTCCGTCCTCCCAGAGCGGGCCCGACAGCTCCGAGCCCGGAGAAAAAAACTTCTCTCCTCGGCCCGTGCGGGCCCCGCCTCCCGTCTGTTTCTCTCAGGGAATGCGCACGGTCGGCCTCGCCGCGCGTCGCCTCAGGCTTTGCGGCGCTGCCGTAAAGCCATTCTTTCCACTGTCGCGATCCTGCCGTACGCGCGGGCCATGGCGGCTTTGCGGCCCGGAAGCAAAGCATTTCGCCGGCTACTCTGCCGGTCCTTCTCCGGTGGTGACGTTCGACCGGGCCGCGAGCGCGCTACGGAGCGCAGGGATGCTGCGTCCAGCCGGGTAAGCGGGACGCCGGGGGCGCTGCCAGGGAGGGAGACCGCTGAGCACCCCCACGACGCCTTCATCTCTCCGGCGGGCTGATGATCATTGCAGCGGATCCGCCGTGGAGAGTGCGAATCTTGCTTGTTCTACCAAGTTTTAAATTCCGTTGGTATTGACACAGCTCCTGGAGTGTGTGCTTTCTCATTTTCGCTTCGTTAAGATTAGTGTTCGACTTGAAGCGGTGACTGACTTCCTCATCCCACTTTTGTAGACTTCTCATTGTTTGTAAATATGCACGCAGTGTCATAGATCCACAGGGCATGTCTGCAGCAAGAAAGGACGTGAAGCCTTTTTTTAAATATCACTTGCGAGCGCTGGAGAGACGAGTCAGCGGTTAAGAGCACTGACTACTCTTCCAGAGGTCCTGAGTTGTCAATTCCCAGCAACGACATGGTGGCTCACAACCATCTGTAATGGGATCCGATACCCGCTTCTGAAGACAGTGACAGTGTACTCATATATATAAAAATAAATAAATCTTTTAAAATAATCAATTGCACTCCTTTGCTACAGAATGTTTTGTTTAAGGAAGGCCTAGGTTTTGAGCCTATCAGTCAGAGGAAAATGCTAAGGCTGAAGGTAAAACAATCAGTGGCCGCTAACACTTCATTTGCCACTAGGCCAGTGATAGAGACTGGAGGACTTGGTTTAAGCAATAATTAAGAGAGGGAGGGAGGGAGGGAGAGGGAAAGAGAGACAGACAGGCAGACAGAGACAGACAGAGAAAATTAAGAATTGCAAAATGTGCCGTGAAGATTTTCATTTCTGCAATGCTGTGTCTTCTGGCACGCTTTTATTATAACTACAGCTTTGAAGTTCTGTCGACTCTACCGTTTAGATTTGTTGCCAAAGACCCTGGCTTCTGACTCAGTCTCCTGGCACAAGAAAGAAATAAAAGCCTTCACTTCTGTCTTTAGAAAAGAGAACTTTAGCCGGGTGGTGGTGGCGCACGCCTTTAATCCCAGCACTTGGGAGGCAGAGGCAGGCGGATTTCTGAGTTCGAGGCCAGCCTGGTCTACAGAGTGAGTTCCAGGACAGCCAGGGCTACACAGAGAAACCCTGTCTCGAAAAAACCAAAAAGAAAAAAAAAAAAAGAAAAGAGAACTTTAGTCCTTGGGCAGAAAAAAGATAAAACAGGTGCCTGAACATGCTTTGGGAGGGGAAAAGTTAACTCAGCTGACAGCTTTCTCATGGTGAGAGTTTGCCCTAACATCCCTCTTTTCTTTTTAAAACATTATTATGATTGTGTGTGATCTGCCTGGAGTCGAGATATCCCAGCTTTCTGGAGGCCCTTTCCTCCTTCCATGGTGGATGCCAGGGGCGGAACTCAAGCTTTCGAGTGAGATGCTTTTACCCTGAGTCATCTTGCCTGACCTTCCTATTTGGTGAACTAATGTTGGAAAAAAGACTGCCAAGCAGCAGTCTTTGAAGAGTCTGGCTGGAGGCCTGATGGCACAGCCCCTTTAACTGGAAAGGCATGCTGGTCTGCATTGCAAGTTCAGGGGAGCCAGGGTTACACAGTGAGACCCTGTCTCAAAACAAGTTACCTGGGGTCTGGATCCTCAGGGTAACACTTGAGCCTTTTGGAGCTTACGGGGCAAGCCTGTGTGCTGCCTCTTGGAGAGGAGCAACGGGAATGACTGTAGCTGGGAACCTGGCTGCCCGCCAGAGCTTGCCTAATTCTATCCTGACTACCTCTGCTCTATGTTTTTTAGGATCTAAATGGCCCATTATGGTAAATATTGGGTGGCACCAAAAAAAAAAAATAGTTTTGCCTCAGGGCTACTTCGTATGTGTTGCTACCTTTCTTGTTTCCTGAGTAATTAGATGATTGTTAGATTACTGTATTGCAATGAAACTTTGTAAATACCAAGTCTTAAAAGTAACTTTGTGGGAAAAAAAAAAGGAAAAAAATAAAAGCCGGCTGTGGTGGCACACACCTTAATCCCAGCACTTGGGAGGCAGAGGCAGGCGGATTTCTGAGTTCGAGGCCAGCCTGGTCTACAGAGTGAGTTCCAGGACAGCCAGGGCTACACAGAGAAATCCTGTCTCGAAAAACCAAAAAAAAAAAAAAAAAGTAACTTTGTGGTTGGAGGCAGAGGCAGGGCAGATCTCAAGAGTTTGAGGCCAGCCTGGTCTGGTTACATAGAGAAACCCTATCTTGAAAAACCGAAACAAACAAATAAGTGAAAATTTAAAACTTAAAAAGAATGTTGCAAATTGTTTCTTCAATCAAATAAACCCTCTACTGGCTTATTCTGCACATTTTTCTTTACCTTCCTGTCTTGCTTTAAGGAGACCCACTTTGAGTTCCTGCCTAACTTCATTTCTGGTGCCCCCCCCTTAAAGATTTATTTATTTATTGTATGTAAGTATACTGTAGCTGTCTTTAGACACCCATATGAGGGCATCAGATCTCATTGTAGATGGTTGTGAGTCACCATGTGGTTGCTGGGATTTGAACTCATGACCTCTAGAAGAGCAGTCAGTGCTCTTAACCGCTGAGCCATCTCACCAGCCCCCATTTCTGGTCTCTTTGTACTCACTGCTTTTTCCCCTTTTTATTTTTGTCTTTGTCAGAGTCTTGCATATCCTGGGTTTGTCTGGGACTTCGGTTTTCCACAGCTCCAGCACTGAATCACATCAAGCACCCTGGTGTTTTGGTTTTTTTTATTTATTTCACTTATATGAGTATACTGTAGCTATCTTCAGACACACCAGAAGAGGGCATCAGATCCCATTACAGATGGTTGTGAGCCATCCTGTTGGATATTGAACTCAGGACCTCTGGAAGAGCAGTCAGTGATCTTAACCACTGAGCCATCTCTCCAGCCCTGGTCTTTTTGGTTTGGTTTGGTTTGGTTTTGATTTGAGACAGGATTTCTCTATATAACCCTGGCTGTCCTGGAACTCGCTCCAATGACCGGGAGGGCTTCAGACTCACAGAGATCTGCTTGGCTGTGCCTCTGGATTGTTAGAGTTAATGGCATGAACTTCCATGCCCTGCCTCGGCTATATGCTTTTGGAGAAAAATCGTTTCTCAAAAAAGAAAAACAAGCCACTTTTAACTTCATTGCCAGGCAGTGGTATCACATGCCTTTATTCCCAGCACTTGGGCGGAGGCAGAGGCAGGTGGATCTCTGAGTTCCAGTGTAGGAGAATTTTAGCAGAGCCATTGTGTCTGGCATGAATTCTGGAGTGATGGCACCTAGGCATTGAAGTAGCATTTTGTAAATAGCCAGTGGTTGTTATCTGAGGTTTATGAAGTTGTTCTTCCTGAAGGATTCACAGAGCCTTTGCATAACTTAGTCTTCGGACACACGTGGTAAACCAGGAAGCCTGGCTGAGACTTCCTGGGCAGAAATTGACTCCTTAAAAGTGCCTTTTGTGTAACAATCTGAAAAGCTGTTTGGAGTTCAGTCCTTCAGAGGCTTATCCCTCTGCTGCTGCGAAGTCTAAATTCATCCTTCAATGTCTGTCTTTCTTTGGTCATCCAGCCAGCCTGGTCTACAAAGTGAGTTCCAGGACAGTTGAGGCTACACAGAGAAACCCTGTCTCGAAAAACCTAAAGGAAAAAGAAATAGTACACAGGGACACAGACAGGGTTCCTGATGAAGCCACCTCTGCAGTTTTTTGAAAGCCATGTCCCGTAATATGCTAATGAAGCATCAATGGAGTCATGTGTCTAGTGATAGCTGGCATTTCTTTGTGGGTCCCTGAAGTACTAGGGGCACAGAAATACTTAGCAGACACTGGTAGCTCTGCAGGGAGGGCTTCATATGGTAATTTATGTTGTGTGCAGAAAAAGCAGACAGACCCCTGCCCCAGATGTGGACTCTGCTAAAGCTGACACTTTCCGGACTCTTCGAGAATTTATAAGAAGTTTACTAAGTCTGCAGCTTGAGGCTGAGCCCTTGACCATCCAGAAGAGTACCTCCAGGGTGCCTAACTTTTAAGAGGAGTTGGGAGTTGGAAAAAGCCACCAATCAGATCCTTAGACAGGGTGGTAGATAGTTTTATACCAACTTGACAAAAGCTAAAGTCATCTGAGAGGAAGAAACTCCAATAAAGAATGTCCCCAGCTAGGAGGCAGAGGCAGACCTGGTCTACAGAGCTCAAGGACAGAGTTCTACAGAGTTCCAGGATGCCAGGGCTGCACAGAGAAACCCTGTCTTGAAAAAAACAAAAAACAAAGGAAAGAAAGAAGTGTAGCCGCCTGCGGCCATGAATCAACTGGGTTCAGCTGAAAGGGGGCTGGGAACGAAGGGATGATGGAGGGCGAGAAGAGATGAAGCCAAGACAAGGTTCTCTGATCCAGGCTCAATGCTTTAATGTTCAGCTCTCAATTTAAAGGGAAAGACCCTGCCCGAACCCTTCCTAGTTTCAGCTGGGAGAGTTGGGTGGGCCGGAGATGTCTCCAGGCAAGCCCAGGGGCAGTTCTTCTTTCAAGTTCCGGTAGCAGACTGTAGATGCAGCCAAGGTGGGTGACTCCACCTAGGTGTCTATTGACATTCAGACAAGGTGGCTAGTTCCACCTAGGTCCTATTATTTGGTCTGTTGTGGTAAACAAGGTCTCTCAGGCCTGCTCAAGGCCGGGGAAGGGCACAAAGAAGTCTCCCTAAGATCAGACCGCATGGGTAGACATTTTCTAAATTAGTGATTGACGTGAAAGGGCCCGTTGTGGTGATACCTGTCCTGGGCTGGTGGTCCTGGGTGATCAAGAACACCGGTTGCTCTTCCCGAGGTTCTGAGCACACGCTGGCTCACCAATGTCTATAAAGGGATCTGATGCCCCTTTCTGACATGTAGGTGTACATGCAGACAGAGAACACTTCAAAGTTTAAAAAAATATATATTAAAAAAAAAAAGCCGGCAGTGGTGGCGCACGGCTTTAATCCCAGCACTTGAGAGGCAGAGGCAGGTGGATCTCTTGAGTTCAGGGCCAGCCTGGTTTACGGATTGAGTTCTAGGACGGCCAGGGCTGCACAGAGGAACTCTATCTTAAAAAAACAAAAAAGAAAAGACAAGCTGGCTGAGTAAATAAGCCATGTGGAGCGAGCCAGTAAGGGCATCCCTCTGCGGCCTCTGTGAGAGCGTCTCACCTCACTGCTTTCATGTGGAACTGTGAGTGAAATAGACCCTTTTCTCCACAAGTTGCTTTTGGTCATGGTGTCCTAGCACAGCAGTAAGTCACCCTGACTAAGACAGACAGCACTGGAGTGCCCACCTGTGAAGCAGGCCTTGGGTCCGGAGATGGTAGGAAGGACCGTAAGGCAGTAAATATGGAGGACCCCAGGGAGGAAACTCCTGCTGGCTCAGTTCTGTATGCTTTCCCTTGCAGACATTCAAGACTTGCTTTTTTTAAATGTTAAACCTTTGCGTGCCCGGTGGGGTATCTTCTTGCACTGACTCAGTTTTGCTTGCTGCTTTATGTAGCACCTTTGTGCAGTAGGGGCCCGCAGACCCCAACTCTCAGCTCTTCCAGCTCTTATCTTAAAGGAGCCTTGTACAGCAAGAAGCCTCTGGCAAGTGTGCATTCTCTCGGTCATCCCATCTCCCAGTGTGGCTTTGTCTGTGCTCCGTCGCCTGGAAGGAGGGAAACAGCGGGCGGCAGGGCTGTCAGTGTTGGAGTCCTGTCTAGCTCGCCGCAGGGTCCGTGACCCGCGTGCAGCCTCCCTTCCCACGCACAGCCTTCCTGTCCATGCTTCCGGAAGCCAGGCATTATGTTCTTACAGTGTAAGAACTTAAATTACAGTAATTACTCACCCTAAAGAGGGAGATTTCTTTTACAGAAAGGGCTTTCCCCTCCCCCAAGCCTCTTTCTTCCCTAATAGCGTCTGCTTGGCGAACAAAGGCACGGGTGTTTTCATGTAGGGAAAGCAGAGGCGTTGTTAACTCATCATAGCCAAAGATAAATGTCTTTCAAGTTATTATGAAAAGTGGAAGGACCAGAAAATTTGTCACATGGGTTCCGCTGAAGCAGCAGGTGAGCTGACACCAGGAGGTCCATCTGAAGAAGCCACTGTTCCGCCGGCCCCTCCTTGGGCTCACTGTGGGGTGCACGGGAGCCAGGCAAAGAGTGGTTGCTGGGGCAGCCCTTTATTAATTTTTGAGACAGGGTCACATTGTGTATCCTTAGCTGTCCTGGAACTAACTATAGATCAGGCTGGCCTGGAATCTCTTTTGCCTCTGCCTTCTGAGTACGGGAATTAAAGGTGCACATGAGGTGACTCTACATTTCCTGATGAGGACAGAGCCTGTAAGAAGAAAAGAACGTTTCTTTTCTTTTTCTTTCTTTCTTTTTTTGTTTTTTAAGAATTACTTATTTTATGCATGAGTACATTGTAACAGTCTTCAGATGCATCAGATTCTGTTACAGACGGTTGTGAGCCACCATGTGGTTGGTGGGACTTGAACTTGGGACCTCTGGAAGAACAGTCGGTGCTCTTAACCACTGAGCCATCTCTCAGTGGTTAAGAAAGAACATTTCTACACACTGAAGATGCTCCTTGTAGGTGTTTGAAGCTGTAAGCAGGAACTGTAATATGGAACCACGTTGTACTAAGTAGCTGAAGGGCACACACTATGTGGACTGTGCTAGGCTCGTCAAGTGTCCAGCACTCTTTAGCAGCGGGAGCTGTGTAGCATTTCTCCACCAGGCGTTGAGTTCCCCATCTCCCTCAGATAAACTAAGCCTTCCACAGCTCCTGCTAGCACCGACCTACCTGCCTCTGCTTCTTTACATTCCTGAGAAGTTCTGACTCAGGACCCTGGGTCAGTCTACTTGCCTGCAGTCCCAGCATTTGAGCCTTTGTAGCTAGACCTAGAGAAACGCCAGAGCTAGCAGCTCGAGTTCCAGAGACCTGTGATGTGACGGACATGCTCAATTTTTGGCTCACTTAGGCTTTCTGAACATGTTGATGCTACCTCGTCCAAACTTGCCATATGTCTGTGTAAGTTAATCCCGGGTCAGGAAGATGGCTCAGTGGTGAAGTGCTTGCTGCAAAAGCCCGAGGACCGGAGTTCTGATCCCTAGCAGCCATGTAAAGTCCGAGTGAGTGATTGCTTATCTGGATCCCAGCATATGAGAAACAGAAACGAAACCCTTGGTCAGCTGGCTCACTAGAATAGCTGACACTGACTTTTAAGTTCAGTGAGAGACCCTACTTCAGGATACGAAGTGGAGAGCAATAGAGGAAAGACACCCAGTGCCAACCTTGGGCTGTCACACGTGTGCGTGTGCGCGCACACACGCACATACAGAGAGAGGGAGACAGAGACACACATACAGAGAGACAGACAGAGACACACACAGAAAGACAGAGACACATACAGACACAAGCAGACACACAGACATATGAAGAAAAGGGAAATAACCCTGTAGAAGGCTGGGAGAGATGGCTTAATAGGTGTGTATCACACCGTCAGGAAGACCTGGGTTTGGCTCCCTAGCACCCACATAGCACCCATGTAAAAATCTAGTATGCCTATGGTCCTAGTGGTGGTGGGAACTTGGGTTCTATGTAGGTGCACCGAGTGCAGTCAGCCACTCACCTCCAGCCTCACTGCAGCAACTCCTGGCTACCCTGGAAATTGATCTGTAGACCAGGCTGGACTCAAACTCAGATCCGCCTGCCTCTGCTTCCTAAATCCTGGGATTAAAGCTGTGTACCACCAGCCAGGGTTTTTTAAGGAAGCACTTGGGGTTAGGGATTCAGCTCAGTGGTAGAACACTTGCCTAGCAAGCATAGGCCCTGGGTTTGGTCCTCAGCTCTGGGGGTTGGGTGGTGGAGCACTTAGGAGAGACACTGGTCCTCATATTGTTTCATTGGAGGGGTAAGGAGACTTCTGCCTCAGCCTCCTGCGTGGTGGGATAACAGACACGGGCCACTGTGCCTTTTTTTTTCCTATTAAAAGTATATAGCAAACATGAGGTCTGGTTTCAGTCTTTACAACTACAAAATTTAATAAATGGGCCGGTTCGAGGCTGGGGGCGTGGCTCCTTGTGGCAGAGTGCTTGTCCAGTGTGTGTGAAGCACTGTTAACTGAGCTCATAGGAAGGGTCTTTGTCTTAAGATGATTGATGTTAGAGCACACGCCTTTAATCCCAGCACTTGGGAGGCAGAGGCAGGCAGATTTCTGAGTTCGAGAGTTCAAGGCTAGCCTGGTCTACAGAGTGAGTTCCAGGACAGCCAGGGCTACACAGAGAAAAACCAAAAAAAAAAAAAAAGATGATGGATGTTAGGGCTGGAGAGATGGCATTTCGTTAGCATTGACTACTCTTCCAGAGGACCCAGGTTCAATTCCCAGTACCTACATGGCAGCTCACAACTGTCCTTAACTCCACTCCCAGGGCATCCAACACATTACACAGATATGTACACAGGCAAAACAACAATGCTCATAAAGTAAAAATTAATATATATATATATATATATATATATATATATATATATATATATATATATATATATAAAGGGTGATTGATATGATAAGCATTTTTTATTTATGTTGTGTGTGTGAATATTTGTAATATGTGTATGTCTCCTGACCCCTGAAGAGGGTGCTGGGCTCCCTTGGAGCTGGAGTTACAGGGAGTGTGAACTGCAGTATGAGGTGCTGGACCCTCTGAGAGAGCAGCAAATACCCTTAATCACATTTCCCGGCCTTAGTAGTATCTTCAGAAGAGCAAAGTACACATGCACGCCGTGTGTGTGTGTGTGTGTGTGTGTGTGTGTGTGTGTACATTTTTAATTTTAGGTGTACTGGGGGTAGAGCCTTGGGAGTGCTAGACAAATGCTACCACTCGGCTGCGTTCCTGGTCCTTTTATTTTAGGTACACTTATAATTTTGAGACAGAGTTTACTAAATTGTCAGGCTGGCTTCAAACTACCATCCTGCCTCAGCTTCCTAGCTGGAGTTACTGGCCTGCCTACCAGGCCTGGCCTCCTCGGTCAGGATGTGGAACTATTTCAGCATCATTTGATGAAAAGTGTAATAATGTTAGTATTTAAGCCAGGTATGTGGTGTCTGCCTGTAATGCTGACACTTGGGAGGCTGAGGCAAAGGGTTGTGAGTGGAGCCTAGGCCACATTGTTAGATCATGTCTGAACAAACCAAAGAGGAAAACAAGGCAAAATTACATTGTAGCTCTTTTAGTTTGGAAAATGATCAGATGAATACATTGTAGTCTTTCACAGAGTAAGTCGATGAGGGCCTTGAATAAACGCAGGCTGTTAATTTTCTAACACCAGGGTCTGGTTTAGTTAATGCATTAATTCCTTTTGTTTCATTAAAGGTCTCAAGGTTCTGCCCTCCAAGACAGTCTTGCCATGATTGGATAGGCCCCCCAGACAAATACTCCAACCTCCGTCCTGTTCATTTCCACATCCCTGAAAACGAGTCTCCCTTAGAACAAAGGCTTAGAGAATTGAGACAAGAAACGCAAGAATGGAATCAGCAATTCTGGGCCAAGCAGAATTTGTCCTTTAATAAGGTGAGTGTGGGGTTCAGATCAGTCAGGGACAATCTGCTCAGCCACTTGGGGGCACTACATCCTTAGCAGTTGCACTGTTGCCTTTCTGATGGGGGTTTTATGGGAGTAAATAGAATACGTTGTCTCTTCTTATTATTGTCTGTAGCAGTCAGGTGTGGTGATACATTCCTTTAATCCCAGGGCTTGGTCATCAAATCCAGGAAGATCTCTAGTTCAAGGCCACTCTCTCTCTTGAGCTCCAGACTAGCCAGGAATGCGTGAGATATGTCTCACTGTGTATAGTGAGACCCTGTGTCAAAGAATGTTTTTTAAGAGATCAAAAGATTGTTTTAAACCAGCAGGTAACTGTGTGGAAGCCGCCTTGTCTTAAGTCACAGTTCAAGGATTTCTGAGAAGAGCGGTAGCTAGGGCCAGGACTAGCTCTGTCTTGAAGGCATTGCTTGTTTATAAGAAGTCATTGCCATTGTTGTCACTTATGAGGGCTCGGGATTCTTAGCAGCTTACTCACAAAGTGCATGAGAAACACAGATAACTATCCTAATGGAAAAGAAAATATACCTGGCTTGTTTGTTGTATTCTGTGGGTTTATAAACAACCCACCCTCCGGAATCCGTTGAACATTTTTTAAGTTCCTATTTCAAGCTGGGCATGGTGGTACACAACTATTACCCAGCACTCTGGATCAGGAGTTCAAAGCCCGTCTCTACTACATAGCAAGTTTGAATCTATTCTGGGCTACACGAAAAAAAGTCCTGTATCAAGCATGAATCTTTAACCAGAGTGAGATGGTTGAGAACAAGCTCTCATGGCAGCTGGAGAGGTGGCTCAACGGTTAGAGCACTGGCTGATCTTCTAGAATACTAATCTCGGTTCCCAGACTGAGATGGTGGCTCACAACTCTCTGGAACTCTTGTTCCAGGGAATCCAATGCCGTCTTTTGGCCTCCTGAGGAGGCCAATGCATGCATGTTATACACAGACGTATGTGCAGACTCACACATACACACATAAAATAAACCTTTTTAAAAAGAAGGTTTTATAGTGTGATGTTTCTCAGGAAGTTTGTCCCAAATTTCTCAGCAGTGTGCTCTAGTCGAGAGCAGTAGGGAGCTAGAGAATAGTTCTCTCTCTCTGTCTTTTGGTTTTAGTGCCGAGATTAAACTTAGAGCTTTATACTACACACGTGCTCTGCCCGTGAGCTACAGTTCCAGCCCTTTTTGATTTTTATCCTGAGATCGAGTCTTGTTCAGTTGCCCATGATGCTTCAAACTTTTATGCTCCTGCCTCAGCCTCCTGAGTAGCTGTGCACTGCTACTCCTGGCTAAGACTGCAGTTGTTTGTTTGGGTTTTAGTATTTTTTTTTTAAGATGTATTTATTTATTTTATATATATAAGTACACTGTCTTCAGACACACCAGAAGAGGGCATCGGATCCATTACAGATGGCTGTGAGCCACCATGTAGTTGCTGGGAATTGAACTCAGGACCTCTGGAAGAGCAGTTAGTGTTCTTTTTTTTTTTTTTTTTAATTTATTTATTATATGTAAGTACACTGTATCTTCAGACACCCCACAAGAGGGTATCAGATATCATTACAGATGGTTGTGAGCCACCATGTGGTTGCTGGGACTTGAACTCATGACCTCTGGAAGAGCAGTCAGTGCTCTTAACCACTCAGCCATCTCACCAGCCCCGCAGTTAGTGTTCTTAACCACTGAGCCATCTCTCCAGCCCAAGGGTTTTAATGTCTTTCAATTAAATTTAATTTTTTGAGACAGGGTCTCATGTAGCCCAGGATGAGCTCAGAACTCGTAGCTGAGGATGACGTTGGTCTCCTGGTTCCCCCATCTCCACTCGACTTCCCCAGTCCAGGGAGTATAGGTGAGTACCACACACCTGGCTAAGAGAGTTCTGCTGTCGTCTTTCAGGAAAAAGAAGAATTCATTTACTCAAGACTGCGAGCTAAAGGCTCCTGCCTGCGAACCGAGTCAGGTTAGTATGTTTGCTAATGTAAAAAGTTAGTATGTTTGCTAATGTAAAAAGTTAGTATGTTTGCTAATGTAAAAAGGAGTTATTGTATGAAGGGGGAGCTCTCGACAGACAGCCTCTGTGCCCTTACTTACTGCCTCACTGCCTGCAGAGACTCCCTGCCAGGTGTGTGTGTGTGTGTGTGTGTGTGTGTGTGTGTCATCGGGTTCCCATAGGCTCCTGGCCTCTCTTCTCTTCCACCCTCAGGCGATGTCACAGCCTCTCAGAGTTTAGCTCCTCCTTTTACCTTTGATTTTCTTCCTTGTGTGTGGTGCTGGGGATAGAAGCCAGGGCCTTGAGCATTGTGGGTAAGCACTCAAGCCATTGGACTGCACAGCCTTGCCTTCAGAGGAATGGCTTCCCCTGAGGTCACGAAGCCTCTGTAATCTCCCAGCCCTCCATCTTCCCAGCTCTTCTTCCTGGATTCCTGAGTTAATTCTCAAGCAGAAAACAGAGAGCTGTGTGGTAGCCTTCTGCTAAGGCAGGCCAGTGGAACTGTTTCCCAGCACAACCCAGAGCCGTTAGTTAACCTTAGAGCTGAGTCTGTTAAAGTGCTCTCATTCTCTGCTAATCCCTACCCTGTCCGGCTGCTTCAGAAGGGTGAGGGGTGCAGTCTGGATGCCAGCCCCTGCTTCACCAGAAGAGGGTGCTGCATCCTAGCACTGTCAGAGTGAATGGTGGGTCAGTTTGGTCCTGATCTGTGGGCCACGCTCTGTGCTGAGTCCTTTATCTGTATCAATTACAAAGACCAAGTATTGCTGGGCAGTGGTGCACACGCCTTTAATCCCAGCACTTGGGAGGCGGAGGCAGGCTGATTTCTGAGTTCGAGGCCAGCCTGGTCTACAGAGTGAGTTCTAGGACAGCCAGGACTACACAGAGAAACCCTGTCTCGAAAAAAACCAAAAAAAAAAAAAAAAAAAAAAAAAGACCAAATATGTATAAAGGACCTGAGGTGTAACTGGGGGTGGGTGCTCAACCTGAGATCACACAGTGAGAAAGGAGATTAGGATCTGCCCAAGGGAATCAGATCTGAAGACTGTGGATCTCAACAGTTCTCAGTTCAGCCGCTGTTAGCTGTGTCTGTCTGTGTCTGTGTGTCTGTGTACCTCCTCTCTTCTTCCCACAACCAGCCTCCTCTCTCACACTCATATGTGGCAAAGGGGTGTCCGTGGTCCCTCAGATGCTCCTGTCAGGTCAGCTCATGCTGTGGTATTGCATTAGAGATCGGCCATGCTTAGAACAGACAGGAGAATTGTTTTGACTCCTGTGAACATGCTAGTTTCATTGGTGACTGCTATATATTGAAAGACTGGCCTTAAATAACGTTTTATAATTAATCTGGCAGTGAAAAAGCACCCACTGTGTGTGGAGGGAAAGTACAGAGCCTCCACTCCGGCAGTGTTCAGTCACGTAGAGGGCGGGTAATAATCTCAGTTGGATGGAGCAACTTGGTTAATGAGGTGTTCTCGGAAACTGCTGAGCGCAGTTGTCAAGTTCCTTACCACACGGTGGCTCTGACGAGATTCATGTCAGCTAGCTAGCTAGAGCGGCTCTGTAATGTACACGTACTTAAGGAAAAAAAAAAAAACCCACCATGTTCTGTGGAGTTTAAACAAAGGGTTACCAGGCTGTGTCAGTTATAATGGGGAGAGGAGGGTGCAATGTATGAGATATCTCAGTTGTTCAGAACACACTTAGTGTGTGCGGCTCGTTAGAGGCTCCCAGGGGCTCAAGGCAGAGGACTCAGTCAGTGCTCTTAACCTCTGAGCTCTGTAGTGTTCCTGGAATTTCGCTTATGGTCCTGCTTGTTCCCTGACTATTTGCATCTATTGTATTGCTAGTCCCTCAACCTAGAACTGACCTTAATACTTAATAAAATGGTATAAAAGCAGCCGGGCGGTGGTGGCGCACACCTTTAATCCCAGCACTTGGGAGGCAGAGGCAGGCGGATTTCTGAGTTCGAGAGTTCGAGGCTAGCCTGGTCTACAGAGTGAGTTCCAGGACAGCCAGGGCTACACAGAGAAACCCTGTCTCGAAAAACTAAAAAAGAAAAACTAAAAAAAAAAAGAAAGGTATAAAAGCAAAAGGGAGGATGGGGTCTGGGATGGGGGTCCTAGGGAGGGGAATGGGGAAAGGGGAAGACATCTGAATTGTAAATAAATAAAATAAACAATAAAAAATGAAACCCTGTCCAAACAAACAAACAAACAAACAGCAACAAAAATTCATGGGGCTGGAGAGACAGCTCAGTGGTTAAGAGCACTGGCTGCTCTCCCAGAGTTCAAGTCCCAGTACCCACATAGCAGCTCACACCTGCTTGTAACTCCAATTCCAGGGTTCCTGACACCCTCACACAGACACACATCCAGGCAAAACACCAATAAATATAAAATAAAAATTGTGTGTGCGTGTGTGTGTGCGCGTGTGTGCGTGTGCGTGTGCATGTGCGCGTGTGTGCGTGTGCGTGTGCGTGTGCATGTGTGCGTGTGTGTGCGCGCGTGTGTGCGTGTGTGTGTGTTAACCCAGTTCTGTAAGTGGATAGGACCTAGGTCCCACAATCCCGTTTGAAAGCTCGCATGCAGTATAAGCTCCTATCAGTCTCCGCATCCTAAAGATTATTCCACCTTCACCAGACCCAGACACCAGCAGCATGGGGACTGAAACCATCTAAATGGCTGGTACTCCTTCCCCCCCACCCCCCGTGGTGGAACATCTAGTTGCAGTGGATGCTAAGGACCTGGAGCATGGGTCCAAAAGGCCCCAGCAGTGGGCTGTCTGTCCTCAGACAATGGGACCAGAGCCACCCTAGGATTTCTTCCTTTGTTCTTTTTTTTTTTTTAAATTGGATATTTTATTTTCATTTTAGATGTAATCTTCTTTCCCCATTAACCCCCCCCCCCAAGGCCCCTAGCCCATCCCCCTTTCTCCGCCTACTATGAGGATAAACCCCTACCCACCCTCCCTCTTCCACTTCCCCACCCACGATTTCCCCCACACTGGGGCATCCAGCCTTCACTAGACCAAGGACTTCCTCACCCACCTATGCCTGACACTGCCATCCTCCCCTACATACACAGCTGGAGCATGGGCACCTCCCTATGTGCTCCCAGGCTGGTGGTTTAGACCTTGGGAGCTCTGGTTGGTTGGTATTGTTGCTCTCCCCATGGGGCTACAAACCCTTTCAGCTCCTTTAGTCTTCTCTCTCAGTCCTCTATTAGGAACCCCATGATCAGTTCAATGGTTAGCTCTGAGTATCTACCTCTGTGTATGTCAGACTCTGGCAGACCTCTAAGGATATTAGGCTCCTGTCAGCATGCACTTCCTGACATCCACATCAGTGTCTACCTTTGGTGACTACACAAGGGATGGTTACCCAGGTGGAACAGTCTCTAGATGGCCCCTCCTTTAGTTTCTGTCCCATGCTTTGTCTCCATATTTGCTCCCATGAGTATTTTGTTACTCCTTCTAAGAAGAGCCAAAGCACCCACATTTTGGTCTTCCTTGTTCATGAGCTTCATGTGGTCTGTGAGTTGTATCTTGGGTATTTCGAGCTTTTGGGCTAATATCCAATTATCAGCGAGTGCATACCATGTGTGTTCTTTTGTGATTGGGTTACCTCAGGATGATATTTTCTAGTTCCGTCCATTTGCCTAAGGATTTCTTGAATTCATTGTTTTTTAATAGCTGAGTAATATTTCCTTGTGTAAATGTACCACATTTTCTGTATCCATTCCTCTGTTGAAGGACATCTGGGTTGTTTCCAGCTTCTGGCTATTATAAATAAGGCTGCTATGAACATAGTGGAGCATATGTCCTTGTTATATGTTGCAGCATCTTCTGGGTATATGCCCAGGAGTGATATAGCTGGGTCCTCAGGTAATGCTATGTCCAAATTTCTGAGGAACTGCCAGACTGATTTCCAGGATAGTGAGAACTATTCTCAACAATAAAAGAACTTCTGGGGGAATCACCATCCCTGACCTCAAACTGTACTACAGAGCAATAGTGATAAAAACTGCATGGTATTGGTACAGACACAGGCAGGAAGATCAATGAAATAGAAATGAACCCACATACCTATGGTCACTTGATCTTTGACAAAAGAGCTAAAACTGTCCAGTGGAAAAAGGACAGCATTTTTAACAAATGGTGCTGGTTCAACTGGAGGTCAGTATGTAGAAGAATGCAAATCGATCCATTCTTATCCCCTTGTACAAAGCTCAAGTCCAAGTGGATTAAGGACCTCCACATAAAACCAGATACACTGAATCTAATAGAAGAGAAGGTGGGTATGACTCTCAAATACCTAGGCACAGGGGAAAAGTTCCTGAACAGAACACCAATGGCTTATGCTCTAAGAGCAAGAATTGACAAATGAGACCTCATAAAATTGCAAAGCTTCTGAAAGGCAAAGGACACAGTCAATAGGACAAAACAGCAACCATCATATTGGGAAAAGATCTTTACCAATCCTACATCCGACAGAGGGCTAATATCCAAAATTTACAAAGAACTCAAGAAATTAGACTCCAGACAACCAAATAACCCTATAAAAAATGGGGTACAGAGCTAAACAAAGAATTCTCAACTGAGGAAACTCGAATGTCTGAGAAGCACCTAAAGAAATGTTCAACATCCGTAGTCATCAGGGAAATGCAAATCACAACAACCCTGAGATTCCACCTCACACCAGTCAGAATGGCTAAAATAAAACTACTCAGGTGATAGCAGATGCTGGTGAGGATGTGGAGAAAGAGGAACACCCCTCCATTGTTGGTGGGATTGCAAGCTGGAACTTCTTCCTTTGTTCTTAAAATCCTCTCCTGTGCTATCTTCTCTTGCTTTGCATAACCTGGCCCTCTGCCTCCCAGTTAATCCCTCTGTCCAGTGATGCCAGTCCCACAGCCAGCTTCCAGCCATGCTGGGCCCTGGATCAGCAGACTGAGATGGGGTTGTGTTGAATGAGCCTGGCTGCTGCCATGGGAACACAGGATGAAGGAGGCCCAGAGGGATGGCCAGACAATGTCCAGGAAGCACATACAGTTCATGACGAATAAGAAATTGGTGATGTTTGTAGCCAAGATGACATGAACCATCTGGACTTCTGAACAGGCTGCAATGAATTTGCCTTAGTAACACCACCTGCGGACCAGTGACTGAGTGTGTGGGCAGAAAACTCTGGCTTTAAACAAATTGTATCTCAGGCAACAAGGTGTCTCAGTGCTTTCTGAGTTCACAGGAAAGGTTCCTTCCGCACTCAGTCCTAACTGCGTTGCTTTGGTGGCTGGTGGTAGCCTGAAATCCGTAGCCCCTTTCTACAGGGAAAAAAAGCGATGGCTGCGAACAGTGAGTTCAGCGAGTTTCTTTATTTGCAAAGTGGGGGTGTCTAGATGCCCAGTGATTGCAGACTCGTTAGAGCAGCTGGCCACCTGCTGACTCCGTGTTCTGCAAGTTCTGCCGTGTGGGGCATTCACTGACTGACTTCAAGTGCAGGAAGCAGGAAGCCCTGATTTCATGTTGACAGCAGTGTCAAGAGGGAGCTCTTCCCGTCCCTTTCTTTGACTGCATAAGTGTTTGTGCATCCAGAAAAGAGGGAACCATGGAGACGGATCCACTTTCCCAGATGGCATTTGTGAGACACCCACACATTTTCAGTAATGACATGATGTAACTGCGTTTTCCCTCTCCATCCCTCACTTATGGCTCCTTCCTCCTCCTCCCTTCCCGTTCCCCAGCCCTTCTCTTTACCCTCCTCCCTGGTCCAGTTAGCTTTATGTCCAATAATAAGAGGCAGAGAGATGAAAGCATGGGACAGGAATTAACATGGCCAGCATTGCTGTGGTTCCTGCTGTCTGATTCTTGGCCTGAGGGTGTGTGGGTGAGGTGACCCTGGCCTGTCTGAGAGCTCCTTGGGGGAGCCTTAGGTGTGGGCAGCCCTGCCTGCTGCCAGCCTGAAGTTTACTAGGGAGGACGTGGTTGGAGTCTCCAGGGCCAACTGCCCTGGCCCTCCAGAGAAACAGCTTGTGCTGCTGTTGCCAGGGGAACGGGTTCCTGTTTTGACAGTCCCTCCCTTGTTATGAAAGGCCCAGAGATGCTGCTGGAGAAGAGGGAACTTCCTTCTCTAAGGATCAGCTAAGTTGCCACCCTGAAAGCTTCTCCATCCTGGTCCCTCTCCATCCTGGTCCCTCTCCATCCTGGTCCCTCCTCCATCCTGGTCCCTCCTCCATCCTGGTCCCCTCTCCATCCTGGTCCATCCTCCATCCTGGTCCCCTCCTCCATCCTGGTCCTACCTTCCCACCTGCCTGTGTCTATCTTTGAGACCAGCTTTATGTATCACCTTCCCTGGGAGCCTCTCAGGTGGTAGGTATTCCTCACTTCATCTGAGTAGCATCCATCTCCACAAAGGCCCCCATTGGCGTCTGGGGTGGGTCATGGAACAGAATTGCAGTCCTGCCCTTTGGGGACTAACAAACCAACAGAGCAGGGTCAGCATACAGGCAGGCTCACACTGCACTTCTAGTGTGTGGACCCTTGAAGAAAACTAGCAGGGAATTAGGGAAGAGAGTGGGCACCTGTCAGAGTGTGTGTGTGTGTGTGTGTGTGTGTGTGTCCCCATCCTCAGAAGAATCCTCAAGTAGGTGGAGGGGACAGCAGGAAGGCTGAGTCAGAGGCTCATAAGCAGGGACGGACAGCACGCATGCCATTGTCTGCACCTTGTAGAGAAGATGGCGGATTACCCACAGCTGCCTAATAAGAGGCCGGCTGAGGGCGAACATCTCTGTACTACCAGAAAGGATTCTCTGCCGGAGGCAGGCAGGTCTGCTGGAGGTTTTAGCATCGCACTGTCACCCAAAGGAGAAGAGTGTAGCCCTTGCCAGATGCCCCCATGCACCTCACAAGGTAGTTAGTGTTAGGATTGCAGCTTCCGAGTCAGAGGGCCCTTCCCACATGAACCCTCTGCTACCACGCAGTCTCGTCCCCTTGCCGTCGCCCAGTTACCTGAGACTGGCCTCTGGACCAGAACTATTTAGTCTTCATGCGTAGATTATCCCTGAGAATGGGTGCTACCTGCCAGATGGGAGGAGCTTCAGAGGGGGTCACCTGCCCTAGCTGTCCCCAGTGCCTCAAGGTATGCTTACTGACTCAGAGCACACCCTCACCTTCCTCAAGGATGTGCTGACTGTTGCTGTCCAGTGTGTTCAAGTTTATCTCTGGACCCAAGTCCTGTCCAGTGATCTGTGTCTGTCTGTGGCAGTGCTGTGTACCCCCTGCAACTCCATAGCAAGTTTATTTTTTGTTTTGTTTTGTTTTTAAAGATTTATTTTATATATAGGAGTACACTGTAGCTGTCTTCAGACACACCAGAAGAGGGCATCAGATCTCATTACAGATAGTTGTGAGCCACTATGTGGCTGCTGGGAATTGAACTTAGGACCTCTGGAAGAGTACTGAGTGTTCTTAACCACTGGGCCATCTCTCCAGCACACCCTCCCCCCTCATCCCCCCCAGTAAGTTTAGAATTTGAGAAATGCAAGCCTTCTTGCTTCTTTCATTTGTTTTAGTTTTTGAGACAGGGTTCTTCCTCCTGTGAAACCTTGGCTGGCCTGGAGCTCACTGTGTAGACCAGGCTGGCCTTGAACTCATAGAGATTGTCTGCCTCTACCTCTGACTGCCAGGAGAAAAGGCTAATTTTGTCCTGCCCTTCCCAACCCATTGTTGAGCTTTTAACTTCTTTGATTTTCCATGTGAGTTGTAAGATATGCCTTAACATTTGCAAAGTAAACAAGGCTTTTGTTTCAAGGTCTAGGAAGCTGGGAAAGCCTGCTGCAATCCTGAGAGCGCACACCGGCTCCTAGTCAGAGAGCAGTGCCCTCTCTTTGTTGGTGGTTTCTATTATTTATTTATTTTAGATAAGGTTTCTCCTTCTGCCTACACCTCCTAAGTGCCACCACGCCCCTGGGTACAGTTAAGTGTTTATGTGTTGATCTCCTGTAAGTTTGTCGGATGTTTTAACTCTTTACACACATACCACACACATACAATTTATTTTTGTGTGTATGAGTGTTTTCCCTGCATGTATGTGTGTGCATTGTGTACATACCTGACCAGAAGAGGGCTTTGGATCCCCTAGAGTTGGAGGTGAACGGCTGTGAGTCTTTATATGAGCTCCAGGAATTGAACCAGCACTCTTAGCTGCTGGGCCATCTCTCCAGCCTTTGTTTTGTTTCTTTTTCTTTTTTTTTTTTTTTTGAGACAGTATTTCTTGTAGCCCATGTTAGCCTCAAACTCACTGTGTAATCCAGAGTGACCTTGAATTTATGCTCCTTCTGCTTCCTCATTTGTATGATGCTGAGGTCAGCAGAAACTTGTTCTTTGTTTGTTTGTTTGTTTTGTTTTGTTTTCCATTTCTTTCTTTTTTTTTTTTTTTTAAAGATTTATTTATTTATTATATATATGAATACACTGTAGCTGTCTTCAGACACACCAGAAGAGGGCATCAGATCTCATTACAGATGGTTGTGAGCCACCATGTGGTTGCTGGGATTTGAACTCAGGACCTCTGGAAGTGCAGTCAGTGCTCTTAACCACTGAGCCATCTCTCCAGCCCCCATTTCTTTCTTTTTTAACACTAAAAAGCAGAACAACAAAAACCCAGCTAGCGAAATGGCCAGTAGCACTGGCTGCTCTCACAGAGGACCTGGATTCCGTTCCCTTCACCCACATGGTAGCTCACAACCATCTGAAGCTCTAGTTCTAGGGGCCAGAGACACCCTCTTCTGGCTTGTGGGCATCAGGCATGCAAGAGACACAGAAACATACAATGCAGGCAGAGCATCCATACACATAAAACAAACACAGAAAGTAATAAACTATTTACCTGGTACCTGATAGCTCAGTGGTCAAGAGGACCCAAAGCTGATTCCCAGCAGCCATGTCAAGTGGCTCACAACTGACTGTAACTCTAGCTTCCAGGCCCTTTGACATCTACTGGCCTGTGCAAGCACTGTACCTACCCACTATGCTGTATATACACACACACACACACACACACACACACACACACACACACGCACACGTACACAGAAAATGAAATTGAATCTTTAGCTGGGCATGTTAGTGCTTGCCTTTGGTCCTACCACTTGGGAGGCAAAGGCAGTGGATCTGTGTGTTTTTGAGGCCACCTGGACTATAGTGTGAGTTCCAGGATGGCATGTGGTGTCAGAGGACAATTAATGTAGGAGTCGGTTCTCTCCTTTTACCTTCTGGATCTTAGGGATTCAGTTCAGGTCTTCAGACTTGGAAGCAAGTGGCTTACCCACTGAGCCATATACAGTCCCCTGGTTTTTGTTTTTTTGTTTTGTGTTGCTTTTGGTGTTTTGAGGCAATGTTTCTCTGTATACCCTGGCTGTCCTGGAACTGACTTTGTAGACCAGGCTGGCCTCGAACTCACAGGGATCCGCCTGCCTCTGCCTCCTAAGTGCTGGGATTAAAGGTGTGTGCTACCACCACCTGGCTTCTATTTTTAGCCACAGTGCTGGGTTCTAAGTGTGCATCAGCATGGCCCGCTTCTCCCATGCTGTGTTTAATTGTGATTTACTTCTAGGCCAAAGAGCAACTCTGGACGCAGAGGAGATGGCTGACTTCTATAAGGACTTTCTGAGTAAGAATTTCCAGAAGCACATGTGCTATAACCGGTAAGTGTTCTAAGTGTTCATGCCTTCCCTGAGGTTACCCAGCACATCCACATCTGTACGGCTCACCTAGCACATCCACATCTGTACGGTTCACCCAGCACATCCACAGCTGCACAGTTCACCCAGCACATCCACACATCTGTACAGTTCACCCAGCACATCCACATCTGTACGGTTCACCCAGCACATCCACATCTGTACGGTTCACCAGCACATCCACATCTGCACGGTTCACCCAGCACATCCACATCTGC